AGTTTCCAGAGTTGAAGTCGCCTCGAGATAGCTGACCAAGATTCACGCAAAATTCCGGACTCCTCTTCAACCAAGAACAATTATTTTGACGAGCGACTTAGGCCCAGACCACCAAAATAATTTTTTTTTTTCGACTTTCGTCCAAAGACACACCGAAACACAAATTTCTTAGAGAGCAAACAACTTGAAGCGTTAAAACTTGCCTAGCGAAAACGACGTGTCACAGTCCACAGAGCGGGTCGGGAGATGGATGCAGTCCTATGTATCGAACAACTAGGCATAAAGTTTGTTACCTTTTTCTTTGATACTTTGAACTTTTGAGTTTTTCATTTTATTTTCTTTTTATGCATATTTTGTGTTTTCACCCCCGTTGAACTCAATTTGCATTACGGCCCCAACCACTGTTTGATCTCGTCTGTCTAAGATCAATTCACAACGTGGGTAGGCAGACTGGAGATCAATGCAGTTACCTTGGTAACCAGGCGTTGGAAGCGAGTTGGGAACGACGACGCTGATATCAAATCTAACCAGATTCCCACCCGAATCACCAAAAGAACGTCACATTTGGGTGCCGCGACCGATACCAAGCCAGTTAGTCGTCACAGGACGAGACAACACGACTGACGCGACAGGCGGACGTCACGTTTGGATCAGCGACACCCGGACGGAGCAGCGAGGAGCGAACAGCTGGCGCCGCGGCGAAGACGTCACAAGTGGTGCTGTTTGAGGACGTCACAACTGGCGCCGTGGTAGATCAGGATAGAACGTCACAGTTGGCGCTGCGACCGGGGGACGACGTCACATGAAGGAGATCAAGTATCTGGGACATATAGTGAATAAAGAAGGGGAAAATCCAGATAAAAATCGAGCATCAGCAATAAAAGATATGCCTGAGCCAAAGGATATTAAATCCCTACAAAGTTTTTTAGGCTTGGTGTCATATTACCAGGACTTTATCCCAAACCTCCACATTCTACGAGCTCCTCTTAACGATCTACTAAAAAAAGAAAAACCTTGAATATGGACAAAAGAATGCGAGCAAGCATTTAAGGATATAAAAGAAAAATTGACATCAGATTTATTTCTGGTACATTTTGATCCAAAGGTAGATATCATCGTGGCGAGCGATGCCAATACACACGGCGTAGGTGCGTGCATATTGCACAAGTGGAAGGATGGTAAAGTTCGACCGATCGCTCATGCAAGCAGATCGCTACTACCTGCTGAACGCAACTATTCACAAATTGAAAAAGAGGCATTGGCGATTATCTTCGCTGTAACAAAATTCCATAGATACATACATGGACGGTATTTTACGCTACAGACAGACCACAAGCCTCTGGTAACGATGTTCGGTTCAAAGAAGGGTCTGCCAACATACACCGCAAATAGATTGCTTAGGTGGGGAAACAATTTTGCTAAATTATAACTTTAGAATACAATATTTGTCCACCCACAAAATTGGTCACGCGGACGGTCTATCAAGACTCATTCCGAAAGCAACAGAACCTTTAGAGGATACGGTAATCGCATCCTTCAGAGCAGAGGACGAGGTTGAAGAAAATTTGGCGAACGCAATTCGAGAATTACCAGTATCGCTTAAGGACATCAAAAAAGAGGCAGAAAAAGGACAAATATATTATGGAAATAAAAGATAAGCTAGCTAAAAAAGACGAAAAAAATTCAAGTGACATTCTCTCTGTGTGATAATGTGCTAATATACAGTGAAAGGTAGTAATCCCTAGTACACTCCAAAAAAAAGAATATTGAAAGATTTTCATGCTGGTCACCCGGGCATAAATAGAATGAAGAGCCTCATGAGAGCATACGTCTACTGGCCAGGTATGGACAACGACATCGCGTCTATGGTCGGCAGATGTAAAGGCTGCATTTTGGCATCAAAATCACCACAAATTCTACAGAAGCCATGGCCAAAATCCGACAAGCCATGGTCAAGGATTTATATTGATTTTGCGGGTCCAATTGACGGGTGGCATTATTTGGTCGTAGTTGACATCTTTAGTAAATGGCCCGTAGTTTTCCAAATGAAGAGGCCAACATCACAAAATACAATAAATAAATTGCATGAATTATTTGCAAGGTTTGGAGTGGTAGATACTGTGGTTAGTGAAAACGGTACTCAATTCACGAGCAAAGAATTCGCAGAATTCTGCCAGAATTTTCAAGTGGATCACGTGAGGATTCCTCCGTATCACCCACGCAGTAACGGACTAGCCGAAAGGTTTGTCGATACGCTAAAAAGGGCTCTTAGAAAAGCAACAGGTACCCCGACTAGAAAGGCGTTACAGCTATTCCTGCAAGTATACCGCATTACTCCGAATAAATCTGCTCCATCAAGCCTATCACCTGCGGAGCTAATGTTTGCAAGGAAGATCAGATCTGCATTTGATAAATCGATACCTGAAAATAAGGTACACACACCAGTCGCTATGGTTCCTAAGCGAAAATTCCACATAAATGAAAAAGTTTTTTCAAGAATTATGAAAATAATGCGACATCGTGGGAACCAGGAGTCATACAAAAGCGGATTGGGAATATGGTGTACTTTGTAAAAGGGAAAAAAAATTACCCATAAAAGGCACATCAACCAGCTAAAGAAAAGGAGTACCGAAGTATCGGAAGAAACTACGCAAGAAGACGAATTACACGATTTATATGATACTTTTTTGATTTACAAGTACCACAGACAGAACAAAAACAGCGCAGATCTGGTAGAAAGCGAAAAGCGACGGAACAATTTATGATGGACCCGAAAAGGAAAAAATATTGAATTTTTTTTTTTTTTTTCACAATGTAAAAAACAATTTTAGCGGGGCGGGCGGGCGGGCGGGGGGGCACCCACCTTCTGATGATAATGGACTGATCTCTCTACGATATAGGACAGTGCTAGAGAGTTCTAGGGAGATCAGGAGAACTAAGAGATCAGGTGACCATCTCAATTCCGTCTCTCGACCGGAAGATACCGTTGGACTGTAGACTCTTGCTAATTGTTATTACTAACCTGCGTTCGTTATTACTAATCACTGTTGTTAAATACCTCTTCAAATATACCAGTATTTTTCCCTACATGTGTTTGTTCCTTATTTCAACACACGCACGCGGGAACACTTCCAACATCTCAACAGTTATTGTAGTGGACACTTCTTATTTGAAGTAGACGCCCATTTTTATTTATTTATCACGTGTATAGGGCTACGCATTCGAGAAGTCTTAGTAAAGAAAATGTGACCTCAGGCAGGGATCGAATATCTACGTCCTCTTTTGTAGGGAAACTACCGTTTAAACCGGTATTCTTTCCCACTCAATCAGGAAAGACTTCACAGCAAGGAAGACGGTTTTTTTTATCCTATTTAAGGAAAACATATTCCCTTTATTCTGATTATTTTTCTTGAGAGCACATATCTACTCAATTTTGTATTCAAAGCAATTTTTTAAAAATTAATTTTTTTGTTTTTAATCCGGCATTTTTATTACTTCAGACGTTATTATAGTGGACACATCATATTTTGAATAGGCGCCATATTTTTATTTATTAAACAGTGGATATTATGTATATCACCCTGCGCGTTCAAAAGTTCTTAATAAAGGTAATGTGTCTTAACGAAGCTTCGCCCACCCCACCCTTCACCCCTTATAGGGGAACTCACATTTGATCCAGTATTCTTAACCGCTTGATCACGAACGACATTTTTGCGCCATTTAAAGAATGTACACTCCAATCGGTGTATATTAACGTATATTGGTTAGCGCAAGCGAGAAATCCCAAAGTTTGAAGTATTAAAGATGTCCGATTAAAGATAAAATCTATTAAGATGTGTGTGTGAGAGAGAGAGAGAGACTGAAACCGCCTAAAAATGTAGACAGACTCCAAGAAAGAAAAAACTTGTACAGATATTGTAATACTAGTCTTATTCAGACATCACTAGATTGATGCAAGTTGTCTTTGGATTTTACAGTCACAAGAGATGCTCAAAATGGCTGCGTTTAATTTCCAGACATTTGTTAGTACGGAGAACTACTGCTTGGGCAACTTTGGGCAAAGTGACTAATGGGATTGCTGCACATGCATTTTCAATTTCTTTCTTGTCTAAGAACCCCCAATGTAAAGGCATTTGTCAAGAAAAATCGTGCTACAGTAGTGTTATCACAATTTAATAATACTACGAAAAACAACTTTTTCCTTTCCTGCAGTGTGTATACATTTTGAGGCGGGTACTGCATATATACATACATATATATATATATATATATATATATATATATATATATATATATATAGTTATTTTAGCTATACTTAAAACAAGGAATATTAAACTTTATAAAAATGTTTACAGATTATTTCTATCGCAAATACAAATGAAGTTATAATTTTTTTAAAGTGCACATGAAATTTATGGACACCCTGTATATACATAAAATGTATTCTAATAACTTGGATCGATATTAAATGTGAATTACGTTTCAGTGTCTAATGCTTTTTTTCAGTCAACATTTCGTTCGTAAAAGATCTTTACTTGTGCAATTTATCATTCGCTTTAATGAATTTGTGAATCTGAAAATCACATGATACGCTTCTCTCGCCGTTGCGCCTTTGTCGTCCTGATGTGATCTTCGCCTTTCATTTAGCAGGCGATTTTTTCCCGCCAAAACCGGGAGGATTGGATTGATTACAGTAGCGAAAGTACGGAGAAAACATTACCTTAAAAAAATATCTCCTAAATATTTAATAATGCATTAAAAATCATCACTCATTCTTCATCAAATTAAATATCTTTATCTAAATTGAAAACCATCCAACCTCGGTCAAAAATAAATAGCTCCATCTAAATTGAAAAACGCCTAAACATGAATTATTAGATTCCTCTATCATACAAAATAATAGATGCAATTTAAATATTAAAAAGACAATATTCATTCAGGAAGTATTTTAAAAGCGGTAAATAGCATGAGTTCTGCTGAAGTGTAAATTACCCGGTTTTCGATCTTATCACGTTGAAACACCGGTTCCCGTACAATCATCGAAGTTAAGTAACGTCAAGCCTGGCTAATACCTAGATGGGTGACTGCTTAGGAATACCAGGTACTGTAAGCTTTGGTGGCTTAGAATTGTCAGTTGAAGAGCCGAGTTCCTACTCCAATTGTGTTTGTTATATTCACTAAAGCTCAAATATCCGCCGGAAAGGTAAGAATTCACCTCTTTTTCCCTCAGCTAAGGGTTAATCAGTACCAAGAAAACTGTAAAAAAAAATATCAGTATTAGTAAAAAATTATCTCCAAAATAATTTTTAACAAGCATCCATACCCAGCTGGTCGATCAGAAAAAGCCTTCAATTCGAATAGAGCAAAAACAGTATCAAGTTTAGATGTAATAGAGTTTATCTTCTTCATTTACTTTAAAGTACTTTCATTAAATAAAAACATTTTGGATTAATGAAGTTACTAATATAACAGAAGTAGTCTGCATTTATTCAATCAAAGTTAGCCGAGGAAATGAAGGTGTAAAACAGGCAACATCAAGACCCACTTCAGAACACAATTATTTTGAAGTTTTTGAAAATTAAATTGTCAATGTGCTACTGGGGATGTAAAAGAGGGTACATTTATAAAGCACTTGTTAAGTTTGATGAAAATTGATTGAATGATCAATGAAAAATAAGAAACCATTAAAAATCGCCATTTTTCGCTATTTACCAGGGCTTTCACTATATGGGTAGACTCAATTATCAAGTTGAATGACTATTAAACAATCAACTTATTGTTGGCTACAATTAAGTGAAGTTTGTATTAGATTGCTAGAAAATTGGGGAAGTTTTTAGTTGAAAATTTGTGTTGGAATCGATTTGTGTTGAGTGGTGTTGAAATAAAAATGAGGTATCGTTAAGCTCGTCATGATATAAGTAACCTACATACTGAGTTTGAACGAAATAAGAGGAAAAAAGTTGAATTTATCGATTTTTGATCGGCTTTATCGATTATTGATTTTTTTTAAATTATCGATCTTTTACGCCAAGAACCTATCTCTTACATTGTACAATGTATATGCCAAGTTTGGTCAAAATCGGTTGGCTGAATCTCGAGTGAATAGGTAGCACACAGACAGACAGACACAAAGACATCCTCTGTTTTATATATAGAGTTAACTAAAAATATTTTCTGGCTTGAAGTAACATGCAAAGGGTTGATAAGCCGTAAAAAATCAGTCTAAATTAGTATTTTTAAATAATGAAATGCTTTTAATATAAACTGGAGGTCATGTTGGAAGGGATCCATGAAAAGCTTTGCCATCAAAATGATTAAAAATTGTATTGTTATTTATTTACTATTTTTAGACACTTGGACATATTTTTCCAAATAAACCGACGTTATTTTCCATTTTGCATCCCCTTTCCCCACAGATGAAAAGTTGCTCGCCTCTCGTTACCCACGTCTCTATAAGTGCAAGTGTTCAGACGAGCGGCATTCCGTAGTAATACCAGTTCAAACTTTCCTAGCTAGAACTCGTCACTCCAAGAGGTCAGCGTCGATTCATCTTCGTTCCTTTCATATTTCATTGGTTTCATTCTCCTTCCCAAGAACTGTTACTTAGCGGACCAGACTCTTGAGAGGGTGCTTCCCTAACCACTACAATCTTAACGTCTTCAAATGAAGGGGCAACCATTATCTATCCTTTAAACAATAATAATAACCTCTTATTTTCTCCATTCACAACAACCTCGTTTCATTCCGCTCTGTTACCTCAACCATATAAACTTAAACCCTTCACTGCCGATTATTTTGGGAAAAACGTTTCAGTTTTAGACGAAATTTTTATTTGTTTTAAATATAGTAACTAAGATCGAGGAGGCACGGTGAAGCAAAGGATAGCGGCGCGGATTGAGGAAATGCCAGTCGAATCCATTACCGTTCACTTACTTGGGAAAGGTATGAATCCTCTTCTTCTCCCTCCAGCCATGGGTAAATAGCAGGTTAGACCGGGTTATATAGACTTGGATGGCAACTGGTCTACCACAAAAAGAAATCGCAAGCTGCTGCGGGAAAAATCTGCCTCGTCAGTCGTGTATCGAAAGATACATGATCGCCTAAGTGTCTATCATACATGGCACATAACTGACTGAACTAAGAAACCAGTTTATATTAAAAGCATTTCATTGTTTAATAGTCATTCAACTTGAAATACCCGAGCGGTGTCTAACACCTCTACCAGACGTATGAGTAGACAATTGGACTCGTTTCAAGCTCAGAAGGGTATAAAAAGAATCAAGATCAACGTATAAACACGTCTGTAGCTGTTTTTTTAACAGTAAATTATGGACGTGTTTATTCGTCCCTGTCTGAAAAGACTCTTTCGGTAAAAACGTATATACACGAATGGAAGGGGTTAAGCTTACTACTAGATTGGCAAGGAGGTCTCGCTGTTTTACTGTTCAAATGCCTACAAGTAAGCGTAATTTCTATTCTAATAGTTTCTTTTTCTCGCACTTCTCACCTGTATAGCTATCTTCTTTGGAAAATTTTTATTTACAGAAATTTAGAATATTAATATATAGAGAGAGTGAGAAGACATCTTTTCAATGACTTCAGTGGTAAAATATTAGATGATGTATTGATATTTTGTATAATACGCGTCTGATGGCAAGACAGACGTTAATCTTTTGTTGCCGCTCTTTTTCATGGAATTGAAAGCTGCAGACGACTCCTTTTTATCAGAGGATTTTATCCTCAGTCAGAAATTGTTCTTGATGAGTTAAGACTCTTTGTTTCTGGCTCCGTGGTAAACCTGACTTAGTTTGCCACGTAAAATAGCATGCTGCTTTGAATGTTCGACTTACAGTGTCGAAGTATTTTCTTTAGATAGATTTAAATTATAACTTTATAATTAATAATGTCTAATGTCTGAGGGTAGCGGGATGAGGAGTTTTTCTTTTCGGTCGACACTGTAGAAAATTTTTGTTAGTTTCGGTAAAATTCCGAAGCTAATATTGGTTTACTATAACTTGAGAAAAGTTATAAATTTGTTTAAATATAACTTGAGAAAGTTATAAATGTGTTTAAAACTTGAGAAAAGTTATATTTTATTTTGATTTGACTTATAAGGCCTTTTGAGACATTGACGCAAATGTAGGTGTTTGTTAAAGATAACAAAGGTACTTTGCGACTTTTTAGATTTGTTTCAACTTTGACAAAGAAACATTTATTTGCAAGAGGTTATTTTATTTCCAAGAAGAGGAATTATTGCCTTTAATTTGGTACTATTGTTGACTCGAAGAGTTAACCTTTTTTTTTTTTTTTTTTTTTTTTTTTTTTTTTTTTTTTTTTTTTTGTAAGAGTCGTTCCATGCGTGGAAGACTGATCCATTCTCGTTCTCTATTTTAAAGTGGGATTTTAAAAATTATTTCAAATAGCCATTTATTTTAAAATTAGAGTTAAGTTAGGCTTTGTGTTTTCTAATTGACTCTTTCTGCTCCTGAGAAAGCGAAAAAGAGTTTCAAAGGAAGAAAAAAAGAAAGAAATATATTTAAAGAAAGAAGAAAGATCATAAAAGAATCTAAAGAAATTGACAGACAGACTGTTAAAAAATTTGATAACAAGATTTGTTTATTGTAAAGAAAAGGTTGAAAAAAAAAAGATGTTTAAGTTGTCTGCTTATAGAATGATACATTCTATAGACTGACAACATTATTTATGTAAGTAAAAATCCTTTTGTTTATTTTTATGTTTGTTACTACTTAGTATATGAAACAATATGCATGTAATTTTTGATTTGTTAAAATAAATATTTATCTGTGAACAGTATGTAGTTGTTTTTATCTAATAATTTTAAGATCGTCTGCTTCTCTGAGTAATTTGTTGTTAGTTTCCTATGAAGAAGCTGAGAACAAAATCGGCAGTTTTAGTCTTCTTGTGTATTAATATATTTATTTATAATTTAAATATATTAATTTAAGATCGTACACGGGTAAAACTTGAATTTAATTGAGAATTTAATTTTTCATTTAAATTTGAGTTTTTAACATCCTAGGACAGTTTTCTTCACGTCCAGTTTCCTGCTTCTCTGACACCTACGATCTTCCAAAATTTAAAGGCAACGCTAATTATTATCATCTGTCTCCCTGAAATCTGTTGTTTTATTGTTGTCGCGTCTTCTCTTCTTCTTTCACTCTTAGTAACTCCCTTGCGTCTCAGTGGTATTATTACCTTGATTAAAGTGAAACGATTAAAAATAGATACCTTCACTTTTTCGCTGAAATAGAGCATAGCAGGATGACAAAGGCCCCAAAATTTTATCCTCAAAATATTTTTGTTATTATTAAGAGGAAAGAACAAAGGATTTTTTAATTATTTTTTAATTTTTTTACTCCTTTCTAACGTGTTCGAAAGTTTGGTTAAAAATCTTGTTTTTTTTTTTTTTTTTACGTCAGCGACTGACGTAATAATTACGATTACTGTTTCTTTCACTTTTTTCCCTATGAAAAACGCATTGGTTTGGAAATTCTTGCAAAAATCGTTGGATTTTAATGAAATTATGAATGAATGAAATTATTCTGAATTTTTCTTTTTTAGAAAATCTTGTTAATTTTTTTTTTCATACATTTTTTTTTCATATTTTGATAAATTAAATTTTAAGCACAAAATTTGTTTTATTAGTTAAAATCAGGACTCCTTGGAGAATGTAAATCATCAATTATTATTATTTATTTTGTAAAAGTTTACCCAGTTACCAAAAATCTGCTCTGAATTGTAAAATAAAAATGTAATAAATCTATGACATTATTTAATTAGAAAAGCAATAAATCTGACATTATCTAACCAGAAAAGCTTTTAATTGCTTTTATAAATAAGATTTACTAAGGACACTATTGTCTTGAGAAAAAAATTTTCGATGAATAATGAATTTTTACAAGAATTGTTTTAATTATTTTATTCTAAATTTAATAATCTACAATAATATAAATCGTTTAAAGTTCTGCATTACATCACTCCAATTAGTTGATATTGTTATTAAGTGAAAACTATATTTACGAATCAAAAAACCTCATTAAAAGTCGTTTACACCCAATATTTGAAAAAAAAAATTTATGTGTACGTAACG